CTGAGGCTACCCCAAGGGGCCCTGTACCTGGATTTCAGCATCGGAGATGGTTGCCAGATACTTGGCATCACGGGTGATAGCCATGGCCCGGATGCCGTTCCCTTCTGGGCAGCTGTCAAATATTGTGTGCACAGGAATACTGCAAAACAGGACGGGGGATCACCCACTTCGGAAACGTAACAACTGTGGATAAGCAAATCTGGTCCAGCCATGCGATGGAATATTACTCAGCCATAAAAAGGAGTGAAGTACTGATACATGCCACAGCATGGATGAACCTTGAAGACGTGATGCTCAGCCAAAGAAGCCAGATAACAAAGGCTACATATTTATATTAAATATCCAGAATAAGCAAATGCTAGGGACAGAAAGCAGATGAGTGTTTTCCAGGGTTGGGGGCTGGGGACATGCGGTGTGACTGCTAATTTCAGTTTCAGGGTCTCTTTTTGGAGTGAAGAAAATGTTTTGGAGCTAGGTAGAGGCAGCAGGTGCACAACACTGTGAATGTACTAAATGCCACTGACCTGGTCACTTTGAAATGGTTACTGTGTGTTATGTGAATTTTACCTCTATTTAAAAAAAAATACTAACTTAGGGCAGCATGTAAACATGTTGTTTTGTTCTCTTCCTGAGCCCTAGTCTCTCTTCCATTATCCAGTGCTGATTCCATGCCAGCCATGAAGGATGAGAATCTGAAGACAGATGCCAAGGACACCATCCTAAATAGCAAAACTCTGGAAACAACACGAATATCCATTAGTATGGGAATTGTTTTTAAAAATTATGGTATAACCATAAAAAAGAATAAAATAATGCCATTTGCAGCAACATGGATGGACCCGGAGATCATCATTCTAGGTGAAGTAAGCCAGGAAGAGAAGGAAAAATACCATATGATATCACTCATATGTGGAATCTTAAAAAAAAAAAGACACAAATGAACTTATTTACAAAACAGAAACAGACTCACAGACATAGAAAACAAACTTATGGTTACCAGGGGGGAAAGAGGGTGGGAAGGGATAAACTGGGAGTTTGAGATTTGCAGATACTAACTACTATATATAAAATAGATAAACAACAAATTTATACTGTAGAGCAAAAGAGAATATACTCACTATCTTGTAGTGACCTATAATGAAAAAGAATATGGAAAGGAATATATGTATGTATATGTATGACTGAAACATTATGGCGTACACCAGAAATTGACATGACATTGCAAACTGACTATACCTCAAAAAACTGAATGTATGATCCAAAACATTATGGCATAACCATATAATGAAAACATATGCCACCTTCAAAAAGAATGAGATAGATTTGGGAAACTGACCAAAATTTCGTGAAAAAAGCAGTGTATGTAGCATAAAAGAATAGAGATAGATTTGGGAAACTGACCAAAATTTCGTGAAAAAAGACAGTGTATGTAGCATCACTCTGAGTGAGTGTGTGTGTGTGTGTGTGTGTGTGTGTGTGTGTATTGTAAAAAGTCTGGAGGGATGGACTCCAAACTTCATGGTGACTCTGGATATAGGTTTGGATGAAGAAGGCGTTTCATTCTTTTTATTTCTACACTTCTGTACTATGTGACTGGCAAGACTTTAGGACTGTAAGGTGCAGACAAAGTCTGAGTGGACACATGCAGAATTTAGCCAGATGGTATCTCAGTATCTAGGAGAGCCAAAGAAATGCAAGAAACAACAGATGACAGAAGTAAGCTGTGCCGCCGGGGGATCCCTGGCTCCCACTGGAAGAGTGGGTGGTAGGAAGACTTAATCTAGGAACGTGGGCTATGCGGATCCCCAGTTTGGGTTTTTGTTTTGTTTTTTCATCATGGGGACCTTGTTACAGCGAATGTAAACAGGCCCCAGTATGTCATGTCAGTGTCCCAATGGGCTGGAACCAAGTCTGTGCTCCAGCTGAGGACCTGTCTGGTTCTCTGTCACTTGAGAAATTTTATCCTACTGGGAAGTAGCCCTAGGAGGGGGAGGGTATAGCTCAGTGGTAGAGCATGTGCTTAGAATGCATGAGGTCCTGTGTTCAATCCTCAGTACCTCCATCAAAAAAAAAAAAAAAGTAGCCCTAAAAAGTCCCTTGAGAAGGCAGTCCTAAAGTTGGAAATGACAGTGATGTCCTTAGTGGGAAAATGTATCTTACCCTGGGGGATATTTAGAATTTAAATGTAGAGACGATGAAGTCAGTTGGACCTGCACTGTTAACACATTTGTGACATGAGAATTCGTTTTGTTTTGTTTTGTTTTTTGTAGGAATTGGGGGATGTTTAAGAGAATTTAACATATCAGAGTCTCTAACAGATTAGATTTGTGATTCTAATTTAAAGTCTGTAGTTGATTTAGACTTGTGATTTTAAATTCAAATTGTATTAGGTTTATAAATAATACTAGAACACTTAAGAGAACTTAAGACTTGCTACAGTTATGTCTAATTTATTAGATTTACAAGAATTACTTAAGTAGTGGTGAAGGATTTGTTTGTTAATCAGACTACTAAAGATCTTAAAGATGAAACGGAATATACTCAATTTCTAAATGCAGTTTAAAATGTTTAAAAGAAGTTAGTAATAAAATTTCTAAGCAGGACCCACACATTCATCAAAGCCCCCTTAAAGGTGATTGCCAAAATAGACTAGATTTATAGAGTAAGATTTAAGGTGAACGAATATCTTAAGGAAAAACAATGGTTTTTATGTTTATCACTTTAACAAAGTGAGTATTAATTCTAAAACCAAATAATCCTTCCTGGGTTCCCCAAGTCATCATTTGCAATGTCATAAAACTCTCATCAATAAATCATTTGAATGGTTAACCACAGATATGCTTTACTTTGTAATTAAAAAAAATCACTGTCAAGAGTCACGTCCCCCCACCTCCCGACCCGTGTCCGGATTTATAAGTAAGAAAAAAGCAAAGGAGAATACTGCTTGATGGGGCTGGGGGGTGGGGGCGCTTCACAAAGGCCTGAGAGAGAGACACACCAGAGGGACCACCCTTCCCGCCTGAGGACTTTCCAGCGCGGGAGGTGACCCTCCCCACGTCAGTTGGATGCTTTATCACTTGCAGCTGGAAGCATATCAGGGCCACAGATGATGAGAATTTCACTTTGTGGGGAAGTGTCTCAGGGCTCCCATGCAGAGAGCGGATTCCCTGTAACGAGGGCTGAGTGGACAACTGGCAGCCCCTGCAGGGCTTTAAGCCGAGGAGCAACACAACCAGATTTTGCATTTGGGAAAAGATCGGGCCCAGGATGCTGTGAAGAAAAACCGTGTGATGATAAGGATGGTGACCACACACGTGTGTTTAGCATAACAGCAACCGTTCTGGAAGGAACATGCCAAACTGATGACCTAGAAGACCAGGACTGGAGACGGTGGCCAAAGGAGACTTCGGTGTTCAATTAAAATGCATTAAAGTGATTTTTTTTTTTAAAAATCAGATGAATGGATAAACAAAATGTGGTATATCCAAGCAATGGAAACTTATACTGCTATAAAAAGGAATGAAGAACTGATTCATGCTATCACATGGAAGAATTTTGAAAATATGATGCTGAGTGAAAGAAGCCAGACACAAAAAGCCACACACTGTCTGATTTCATTGACATGAAATGTCCAGAACAGACAAATCTATACTGACAGAAGGTGGATCAGAGGCAGCCAGAGGTTGAGGGGAGGGAGAATGAGGGGTTTGTCAGTTCAGTTTTCTGTTTGGGTTGTAGAAGTGTTCTGGAAGTAGTGGTGATGGTTGCACTGCATTGTGAAGCATTGCCAGTGACTTATACATTGACATTGGTTCAGCGTCACAGGGGCTACTGGGTTGAAGAGTGAAACCACAGGGAGGGACATCGCTTAGGAGCTGCGGTGGTAGCCAGAGCAGGAGAGGACAGGCAGAGGCAGTGGGGCCAGTTCAGTAGTTACTTGGACGTAGAGGCTCAGGACTTCTGGATATTTTAGCAGGAGATGCCCAGAAGATGTGAGAGGGGAACATCCTCCAGCTGCTTCCTCGTCAGCAAGCAGAGGAGACACTGAGATGGTCACTGAGATGGGGACGGTGCAGTTTCAAATCCTGGATCTGCTCCTTCCCGGCTGGAGAGCACTGCCCACAGCATCCCCCTCACCTCAGGCCACAGCGAAGTAGTGGCCAGAGAAAGGTGAGGCTGAGAGGAGTCGGAGGAAACAGACAGCAGGCAGGATGAGAACCAGAGGGACACGGCATCAGAGAAGCCCAGGGAAGTAAGGAGCGTGGACCAGCACTGAGAGGTCAAGCGTGGGGAGGACCAGGACTAGGTAACACAGCCCTACAGAGGCCAGCGGTCACCTGGGGGAGAGCAGCTCCTGCCTCCCAGGACATTAAACACAACTTCTTCCTACCCTTGTTGTCCACCTGGGCTCGCTCAGCCCCAACCTCACACCAGCCCTCCCTCCTCCACACCCTACCAAGGCCACACAACCTCATCCATCAGTCTAGCTCTTCTCCCTGCCTCCGGGACCACGAATTCAGAAAGGAAACACATGTGTGATCATTTATCCTGGGCCGTGCGCTGTGCCTGGAGCTTCACAGTAATCCTGGAAGGTGAGTGGAGTGGGGTGAAGTGCCCCCTCTGGAAATTCACGTCCACCCAGAACCTCAGAATGTGACCTTATCTGGAAACGGAGAGTTTGCAGGTGTAATCAGCTAAGATGAGGTCGTACCAGCATAGGGTGGACCCTAAACCCAATCACAGGTGTCCTGATAGAGGACACGGACACAGACACAGGGGACAATTCCATGTGAAGGTGGAAGCAGAGGCTGGAGTGATGTGTCTGGGGGTCAGGGACCACCGAGGATGGCCAGCAAGTACCCAAAGCCAGGAGAGACACCCTGATTTCAGACTTCTCGTGAACTGTGAAAGAATAAATTTCTGTGATTCTAAGCCACCCAGTTAGGAGTATTTCTTACAGCAGCCCTGGGAAAGTAAGACGGTCAGAATGATTAGCTTCATTTTTCCACCCCCTGCAGATGGTGAAAGTCACGTAGCATCTCTGGGCCTCCCAGCTGGGATAGTGTGAGTTAGCCTCCCTCTGGCCAGTCTTACTGGGACAGCGACAAATCAGGTTCCTGGGCTTAAGGAGCCAAGAATCGTCCGTGGGAGATTAACCCAAGTAGTGTCACTCCATCAGGCCTTGAGGTAGTAAGACAAGCTCCCTCTCACCCGCACCCCATCACGGGCTTCCGTATCCCCAGACCAACATTCCTTACCTTTTGCTGGTCATGGCGGCAGATACCGTATAAAAACTAGAGGGCGAAGGGCTGCCCCAAGCTTACCCGGTGAAGGAGTCCCATATGATTATCAGGCAGTTGGGCCCTTTGTCGGCCGTGGCGACCCACCGCCTGTCTTCGCTGATGCAGAGGCAGGAGATCACGTTGGGGTGGCCCTAGGCAATGCAGAGAAGATGCCCTGAGACGTGGGGACACAGCCCAGCCTTGGCACCAGCAGGAAAGGCGGGGCCCCAAAGAGAGACCTGACCTCCCTCTCCAGGTTCCTCGGGCTGAAAATCTACTCCCTCCAGTCTTCCCTGGGGCTCCTCTACCACCAGAGGTTTTTCAAACTTTCCCTCAAAACACTTGCAGGATAAGCTGTGATCCCCACAAGAACAGTGACTTCCTAGGGGCCCAGGCGTGTACCCGACTCTGAACCCAGGTTGGGAATAAATGTCTGGCTCCCTCCCCGCCCCCGGGGCCCCTTGAGCCTCCGTGCTGGCCTCATCTCCCTAAAGCAGTGCTCACTCGGGACACCGAGCAGCTCGGGAGCAGAGGCTCCCTGCTCTCCCTGCTTTCACGCTTCATCTCCTACAATCTTGCCCGCGTATCAGAGGAATCTTCTGGAAGCACAAACAAGATGCTAGCCAGGAAATAGCCCCCGTTGCCCTCCCTCCACGTCGCTCACTGCACCAGCCGCTCCGGCCTCCTCTCCGGGCTCCGCCCCCAGGTCTCAGCAGAAACAGCGCTTTCGGCTCCCTGCCCCCTCAGTCCAGACGAAGTCTCCTCTCACCCTTGATTTTTCTCTCACATTTCCTCTCCAGCAGTTATCATTTCTACTTATATATTTATGTGTTCACTTGTTTAACATCTGTCTCTCTAGACTGTAAACCCCATGCGGGGGGGCTAGATCTGTTTCGTTCCTGACTACAGACACAGCAGTTACGATAAATACCTGTGGAATGAATGAATGAACAGGCGGGGCATGCCCAACCACCTGGCGCCGGGGAGGCCGGATGCCTGCCTGGCGTGCTCCCTACTTCTCAGCCCGTCTGCCCAGCCCGCCCCTCCCTGCTTCTGAGCCAGTCCACACACGTCTCCTCTCCCTCTGCTGTTACCTCTGTGCTACACATTCGACTAAGCTCCAAGCCGGTCTGCTCACTGACTCTGCATGTGTGTATTTCTGGGCTTCGAGAAAGCAGATTCCTTAAACTGCACCCATGTGTCTTGGATCCCCGGCTGGGTGCTGAGTATTGGCTGAACTCTTGGAAAATACTTTGTGAAGTTTTTGATCTAGGCATTGACTAAGGAAGGTCTTCATTAAAACATCTGTCAGTTGAAAAAAGTAACGTGGACCTGTTTATCAAGTTAAGTAGCGGAAAGTTAGACAGCAGGAAAAATGTCGGGAGCCGAGGAAGCAGTGCGGGGTGGGGGGAGGGTGGGCACGTGGGACATTCAGGGAGGCAGAGTCGGGTGTAAAGACAGGTGCTGAAGGAGCAGAGAGAGGAAGACAACTGAGCTACTTAATACTTTCAAGTCAGGAGACCTAGGCTGAAGACCTGGCTTCGCCATCTGCTAGCACAGCCTCAGGCAAGTCAGCTAAATCACCCCAAGCCTCAGTTCCCTTGCCTGTGAAATGGGGATATTAATGCCCACTTCTCAGCATGATTAGGAAGACCAAAGCCCTCAAGCGCTGGAAAGGAGTCTAAGTGTTAACCAGGTGCGAGTCCCTGCTGAAGGGCCACCTCTGTGTTTCGGTGGAGACAGCATTGTCTACCCTGATGCCATTCTTACAGAATTGAAGAAAATACAGCTGTTTCAGATGCTGGTTACTACCAAATTCAAGTCAACTGCTATTTGTAGATTGATTCTGATTAGAATTAGAGAGACAACGAACAGTAAAACGTGTTTCTAAAGACAGAATTTGCCATAGTTCAGAAGAGAGGTAGGAAAACGTGATTGCGATGGAGTGAAGTCAGCCCCTGAAATTAAAAAGCGCTGTATTCAAGTTAAAGGTGACCTCCTTTCCTGAAAGAAAGAAAAGCCCGCGTACCTGAAGATGGTGCTGATTATTCTTGAGGACATTGTAGATGACCGCGTTGTGAGCACTAGCATACAGAAGAACTGTCTGGTTTTCATCTCGAATGTAGTAAACAGGAAGAGAACTATTCCATCCGAATGACCAAGTCATGGTCTGGAAGACAAAGGTAAAACCAGCAAGACGCTAGGATGTGCCAGCCCAGAGCGGGGACACAGGGCGCTCCTGGCACGAGTCCTAGAGGGGAAGTATTTCACATCATGGGTCTGGTAAAGAGAAACCACCCTGAGGAGTCCTCAGCAGCAGGCTGCGATGTGGATGAGCCCTGAGAATGCTAAGTGATGCTAAATGAAAGGACCACATTGCCATCTGATCCCATCTACACAGTGTCCAGAACAGGCAAGTCCACAGAGGCGGAGAACAGACCGGTGGTTGCGGTGGCAAGCGGGGAAGCCAGGGGTATGGGAGTGACTGCTTAGTGGGCACAAGGTTTCCTTGGGGGGTGATGGAAATGTTCTGGAGTTAGATAGTGGTGATGAACAGGCTAAAAGCCAACTGTACACTTTAAAAGCGTTAATTTTACAAGGATGTGGAGAAACTGGGACCCTTCTGTGTTACTGGAGGGAATGCACAAAGGTGAAACTGCTGTGGAAAACAGTATGGAGGTTTCCTCAAAAAATTGAAAATACAGTAGAGGGAGGGTATAGCTCAAGTGGCAGAGCACATGCTTAGCATACACCAGGTCCTGGGTTCAATCCAGTACCTCCTCTAGAATAAATAAATAAATAGATCTAATTACCTTCCCTCACCCCCACTGCCAAAAAAAAAATTGAAAATACAATGATCGTATAATCCAGCAATCATACTTCAGGATATATATCCAGAAGAACAGAAAACAGGGTCTCAAAGAGATATTTGTACCCATGTTCATAGCAGCATATTTCACAATAGCCAAAAAAAGTGGAAGCAACCCATGTGTCCATGCAGAGATGAGTGGATAAACAAGATGGGGTTATCACTCAGTCTCCGAAGGGACGGAGATTCTGACAAGTGCTCCAACATAGATGAACCTGGAAGACATTATGTAAGTAAAATGCACCAGTCACAAAAAAACAAATATGTACCGAATGGTTCCACTTACATGAGGCACCCAGAGTGGTCAGACTCGCAGAGACAGGAGAATGGCGGCCGCCTGGGACTGGGGTGGGGGCGAGGGAATTGCTTAGGGACAGTCTAGGTTGCACAGGATGAGAAGAGTTACGAGAATGTGTACAACAATGTGAATGTACTTAATGCCCCTGAACTCTGACACACAACAAATGGTTAAGACAGTAAATCTTATGTTATGTGCCCTTTACCACAATTTTCAGAAAAATTTTAAGAGTGTGAATATTATGGTATGTGAATTGTACCTCCGTTAAAAAAGAAAAGAAAAGCTGTGTGGTGCTTCCTCAGGTGTGTTTACTGGGTACGAATGCAATGAGTTCTACGCTTGTGCGTGCACTTTGTATATTTCAATTTAAAAACGTTTGCTTAAAAAAAGAAAAAGAAAAAAAAAGCAAAGAAAAGAAAGTCTTCAACAGTAAACAGAAACAAATTCCTATTTTTCCACTCCCCCAGGAGCTAGACCCAGCTCAGATCCAGACACACTCACTGCACTTAATGTTGTGAAATTCAGTTTATTTACTGAGAGTACGTAGAATGGACAAGTTTATAATAAAGTCACTAAGCAACTTTATAAGAAAGGCAATTGCTCAGCCTGGGTATTTGGACCTTATACACCCTTTTCTCTAGAAGGATAAAGTATAAACAGATAAAATTCCCTCAGCAGGATTAACAATTCCATATTGCCAGGAATAAATCCAAAATAAAAAAAATATATGTGAGATGAAAAACCTCAGGTACTATAAATCTGACTACTGCTTTCAACTTTATAGCAGTTTGCTTACATATATTTTTGTATTCAATGTCTTTTACTAAAATTACAGATAAACTGTGGCATATTTGTACAATGGAATATTATTCAGCAATAAAAAGAAATGAGCTAACAAGCCACGAAAAGATACAGAGAAACCTTAAATGCATATTGCTAAGTGAAAGAAGCCAGTCTGAAGAGGCTACATACTGTATGGCTTCAACTGCATGACATTCTGGAAAAGGCAAAACTATGGAGACAATTAAAAAAAAAATCAGGGGCTGGGGGTTGGAGGGCGGGGGAGATGGATAGGTCGGGGCACAGGGGATTTTTAGGGCAGTGAACCTACTCTGTGTGATACAAGAATGGTGGCCACATGTCATTACACGTTTGTCAAAGCCCAGAGGACGAACCACACAGAGACTGAACCCTAAGGGGAACCAGGGACTTTATTTAATGCCAACGCATCAGCACTAGCTCATCGACTGTGACAAATACAGCTCACTAAGGCAAGAGGTTAACAGCAGAGGAGGCCAGGGTGGATGAGGCACGAGGCAATACCTGGGGACTCTCTGCACTTTTCACTCAGTGTTTCTATAAACCCTCAAAAATAAAGTCTATTCAAAACACTAACCAAGGCTGATGTGGTACAGTGTTTAAAGTGATGGCTAAGTGATTAGTTACTGGACATCAGTGAACTTTACTGGAGTATCGGAACAAAATCTGGAGAGTTTCCATTATGATCTTTGAACAATACTTTTTAAAAAAATTTTTTAAACTGAAGTATAGTCAGTTTACAATGTTGAAATGTCGATTTCTGGTGTTCAGCCTAATGTTTCAGTCATACATATACATACATAAATTCGTTTTCATATTCTTTTGCATTATAGGTTACTACAAGAAATTGAATATAGTTCCCTGTGCTATACAGAAGAAACTTGCTGTTTATCTGTTTTATATCTAGTAGTTAGTATCTGCACATCTCAAACTCCCAATTTATCCCCCGCAGCCCCTTTCTCCCCCGGTAACCATAAGTTTGTTCTCTATGTCTATGAGTCTGATTCTGTTTTGTAAATAAGTTCATTTGTGTCTTTTTTCTTTTAGAGTTCACATATAAGTGATGCCATATGCTATTTTTCTTTGTCTTTCTGGCTTACTTCACTTAGAATGATGATCTCCAGGTCCATTTATGTTGCAGCAAATGGCATTATTTTTTATGGCTGACTAGTATTTCATTGTATATATAGTGTATATATATATGCCACAACTTCATTATCCAGTCATCCGTTCGTTGATGGACATTTAGGTTGTTTCCATGTCTTGTCTATTGTAAATAGTGCTGCTGTGAACATTAGGGTGCATCTATCTTTTTGAGTCAGAGTTTGAACAATACTTAAGGTTAAACTGATGTTCCATATATTTCTTCCAAGACAGATGTAGTGGGCAACGTGGCCAATTTCTCTCTCTTACAAGCTCCAATCCTCATTCTCTCCTGTTCCCATCTGCTCATTCTCTGTAACTTAGATTTATATTTAGGTCTTTTATTGAGTGGGCTGAGTGGTAGAATTACGGGATCATAATTGTCTCAAGCTGCAACTTCTAGGAACAGAACTACTTAATATTTAGCTGGTTCTTAAAAGCCAACTTCTTCAAACGAGATATGTTCTTGTGGAACCTGACAATCCCAAAAGGCATCACAGCCGTCCTGGGAATTTACTTTGGGATTTAACCAATTAGTTACAAAAAGAAAACATGCCAAACCTGGAGACTTCTGTCTCCAGGTAAAACAACCCTTCCGAGGTCAGAACTAGGCTGACCTCACTCAGCAGAAACAGAACTCCCTCACTGAGAGAGCACTCACAGTAACCGAAATCACACAGTACTAACAGTCATCGCATTTTGCACCAGTTTTAACATTCTTGGCGAATGATCGTGGAGACAGCCATGTCTTACATCAGTCTTTTTCTAAAACATGTGATCTGTATTGTCAAAACCAGGCTTCACTATATTTCATGGTCACATGATTCCTTCTCCTAAACGCATGATCCCTTGTTTCTTGGCTGGCGATGGTGTCCATGGTTATGACTATTTACTCTGCACATGGTGAGTTATTACAGGCCTTCAGGATAAGGCAGGGGACCCCAGAGGAAAAGGAAGATGCTGCAGGCACAGAGCTGGAGAAGCATCCTGACTGAAGCATCTTTGGTGACGGCAAGAAATTACAAACAGCATAAATGGCCATCAAACAGAGGAGTTTAAAATGAGGAAGTGGATCCACACGCACTGACATAAAAAAAATCCTCCAAGAAGTATTAAGTGCAAAAACATTTTGCAGAAATGCAGAATATCTCACTGGTAAAAAAAAAACTAAATATGTGGGGGGGGGTGTATAGATACATGTTTGTGCATCCACGGGAAAAGGTCTGGAAAGATACAGTTATACCAAACTGCAACTGTAGTCACTTCAGGGAAATGGGATTGGGGTGGGAGTGAAAGGGGATCTTTTCCTTTGTATCTTTACCTCTGTATCATTTTTGAAAACATATAAAGAGTACTTATTCATTTTAACAAAAAGAAGAAACCACAAAGGCGAAAGAAAAGGAAAAAGAAAGAGGGTGTACCTGAAGAGCTGAACAAATTTACAGAGGGAGAAAGTCTGGTTGTGCATGAGCCCAGGGCTAACAGGGGCCCACAGCTGGGCAGGGGCTCTGGTCCAGTCCAGACAGCGAGGCCCTGACACAAGAGCTCTGGCTCCCCTTAGTGATGTTACCCGATGTTTTGTTAGTTGGCTAAACAAGACAAATGTCTTTGTGGGCACTAAAACTCAATTATTGTTTCTTTCAAACTGAGCAACTGCAAGCTTTAACCTTCAACTCCACTGCTCAAAGGAGGCCAAATCTACAGAAATTAGGCTGTCAAGTTATCTGCATTTTCCCCGAGGCGTCTTTCCACCATCACAGCTGCCGCCACCACCACCATCATCTAATCGTTAACACTTGTCAAGGGCTGGCTCTGTGTGAGGAGCTACATTAAGTATACACATTCAGTCACTCACAAATCTTCCAAAGGCATGAAGCTACAAATCTATGGCGGGGTGGGAAACATGAAGAATCCTAGGACACAATTTTCAAAAAGTAGCAGATGGAAGAAGAAGGGGGAAAAAACCCTCCTCTTCCTTCTCTTGGCAAATGATATTTTTATTCCTCGCAGATGGCGCCTCCCTGGAATACTGTCAGCGGCAGCAAAGGCAGATTCCTTTGGGCCGCCTGGTACCTTTTCCCAGAGGCTTTCGCTTTTTCCAGACCTTTCACTCACTGATCCATCTTGGGACGGACGGTTTTTGGAACCTGTCCTGGTTTTAGGAGCCTGTAGAGGGATCAAGCCAGTTAACGCAGAAGAAGTGAGGAAAGGAGGGAAAGGAGGAACTGGTGGAACAGAGGAGGCGCATGACAATGTGGGAGAGGAAGTGGGGGGAGAGGAGCGGGGAGGGGAGGGGGAGAGACGGATTGAGTCTCCCAACAAAAAAAAATAAAAAGCACCCTATGAAACAGACAAACTACGTGTGGCACTTCCTGCCCACTGGGCAGCACTCCTGAGCCCAGATGCAGTGTTCGTGTCCGTGATATTCTGCCACATGTGTCCAGCCAGAGCTCTGAACTGAACTTTTAAAAGACCCAAGTCTACTATTAGTTTAAACAGGATCTTTCTGGTGGTATTTTTCTCCCACATGCATACAATTCCCCTATTTCACAATACTCTCAAAGCACTGGGGGAAATTAAAACGCATGTGACACTTACCAAGGGATACACGTTGGCACTGTCATCCTTTTGGAACAAAATGTCCCCAGTGGTGGTGGACACCAGGGACTGACTGGGGCTCCTTGCTTTGGGCTGAAATTCTTCCTCGTTTGTCTCATGTTTGTATGATACCCTCTTTTCTTTCCTCTTTTCTCTCTTTTCGGGCTCCAAGGCTTCCCTTTCTGGTTCCAAGTCTCTCGTTTCTTGTTCTGATTCATCCTGGGGCCCCTGTTCGGCTTTCTCCCCAGGCTCGCCCGAGGGCTGCCTTTCAGGGAAACGAAGCTGTTGCTCCCCAGAAGTGGTTAGATCCAAATCGAGAAATTCTAATTGTGCGACCAGGTCTCTTGAAAGCTCAGTTGCTTCCGAAAGCTCTGATTGTAATGAATGCTTTGACGCGCTACCACTATGGGTTTTCTTAAAAAAATAAGAGGAGATTATGATTCCAAATACAGTGCATGCAGCTCCGTCCCCTCATTTAGTTTTCTTTCTGTTCCTAATCAGCCAGTCTTAGTGTTAGCCTCACATCAGAAATATGAAACGTTTTTTAAAAGAGCTTTTTATTTATTTATTTATTTATTTATTTTGGTGCCGGAAACCCAGGAGCGAATAAAAAGGAGCATTTTTTAATTGGGACATTTTGTACTCAAATAACATGAATCCATGATTTGTGGGTGTGTCGGGTTTGTTCTTGGTCTAGTAGCAGAACCACAACAGTAAAATCATTCTTCTAAGTGGCACTGGTTGCCTCAAAAACCACCAGAGAGTCACAGAGTCACTTCTCGGACCAGAGCTGAGTTCTACAGGGAGTGTCTGCGGGGAGCCTGCATTACTATCACCACACTGACTCTGTCTAGACAAGCTCACTCCAGCTAACCCCTGTCCTTAAAGGCAGCTCTGGCACACACCTCCTCCAGGAAGCTTTCCCTGACCATCCTCCAAGCTGGGTTAAGTTGGCCTTTATATAAATACATATCTCCAATCCATCTCCCAGTCACTACACTTAGTTTTGTCACGTTTGGTATCTGGGTATGGGTCTGCCTTCCTACACACCCTAGAGCTCCTTAAGAGAATGGATGGTCTATTACTCGCATAGCCTGGCAGGTAGGTGGATGGTAAGCATTCAATTAATGATAACGAATGAATGAATGAATGACAATTACTACTTACTGACAAGAATGACCGGGAATCAGCCTGGGCAAGTCCCTCCAAACTGACCACGCGCTCGGTGATTTCTTGGGGCTGCACTGTGGTTTCTTCCTGTGCTCCTGTAGCCTCCTCTTCCTCCTCCCCAACTTCTTCCCCCTCTTCCTCTCCATCCTCTTTCTCTTCCACTCTCTTTTCCTCTTCCCATTCTTTCTCATCTTCCTTTTCTTCCTCCTTCCCCTCCTCCCCTCCTCTTCTTTGTCCCTTTCCTCCTTCTCCACTTCCTCCTCCTCCCCTCCTCTCCCTCTTCCACCTCTTCTTCCTCCCCTCCTCGTCTTCCTCCCCATCCTCATCTTCCTCCTCCTCCCCCTCCTCCTGAGATTCCCTCCATCCTGGCGTGTTACTGTTTGTTGATTGCTGTTGCGCACTTTCTAGCTCTTTATAATTTGCATATTCTCCTTCTTCATCTTCTTCTTCCACTTCTATTTCTCCATCTTCTTCTGTTTCTTCCAATGTGTTTTCCTCTGCATCTGACATTCTTCTCTGTGGAGTTTTCCTCTAGAGAAATTTTAATCATAATAATCATCAGCAGGGCCCTCTGTTTCCCATTTTGATTCCCTACCACTGAAATGTGCATTACCAGCTCTGGTTCCTTTCCACGGGAATAAAAAGAATGCCATCCTCCTGGGAAAAGCCTGCCCCAATTTTTTATAAAGATTGATCTTAGGGCCTCTCATCTTTCTAGGAATAGCCTTAGAGCCCTCTAACTCATTTTAAATATATTCATATTCCCACAGGCAGCAAAATGATAACCCAGGTATTAGTAACAATTCTAATATGAATAAGGGAAGCAGGTAGCTTAGTGGTTAAAAGTGTGGGCTTTCCAGTCAGCCTCTCCTACCACTGAATCCTAGTTCCATCACTCAGTTGCTCTGTGACCTTGAGCAGGTCACTTTATCCCTCAGAGTCTCAATTTGCTCACAGGCAAAGTAAAAATGATAACCCTACATTCTGGGATTGTGAAGATTAGATGAGATGACATATTAAAATGCTCAACACAGTTGCAGCACAGAGTGCTTGAAAAATTGTAGCAATTGTTTAAAAAGTTTTAAAACCTTCTACCGTTTTCTCTCATTTATTTCTTACAGCATACTTAAGAGGTTAAGGTTCTGAGGTTGAAGGGACTTATTCAAGATCAAACAGATAGTAAGAAGCAGACCTCTCGGATGCTCAATTCTGCCACCCGAAAAATTATGGCTATGATTTCAAGTCTAGGGCTCTTAGCACAGAGCCTCTTCTGACTGCCAAACTTTGCCAGTGACACCTGATGCGCGGTGGGGGGCGGGGAGCGGGGAGCGGCAGGTGTGTGGATCCGCGGAGGCACAAAGCCCAGGAGTGGCCGGGACCTCCAGCTCAGGTCTCCCTGGGGCCCCCCTCGCCCCTCCTGGCCCGAGTTGTGCGAGCGCCCCCAGAAGCACCGGGCCCCGCCTTGCCGGGCCCCCGTCCCCGACTCACAGAGCGCGCCCACCCTGGGCCTCAAAGGCCGGGGTCCTCCCGCCACCTGGACCCCAAGCCCACCTCCTGGCCTCCAGCTGCCGCCACTTTCTCCTCCACCGGCTCTCTAGTTACGGTTGCTACCCAAGCCCCGTCCCCATGGTAACCGCCGCCGCCGCCGCCGCCTCAGGCGACGAGCCGTAAAGCGAGACGCTGGACGGAGGTCACGTGCCCTGAAAGCAGTGGCGCAGGACCGGTACGCCCCCTGGCGGTCCTCGGGGGAGAGGCGCTGCCGCGTGGTTTCCGAAAGGAGACTCGCAGGAATCCAGCCAAAGGCACTGATACAGAAGACTCAGCTGCTGTCAGTTTAGGAGAATGTGAGTGATTCTTCCCACCCCCACCCTTGTACCCAATGCTGGCTGATTCATATGCATACATCTCAAAAAAAAGTACTGGATAGGACAAGCTGTGTTTATTATAGTCTAGGGCTTACAAAAAGAGACTAGAAAACACTTGGAATTAGAACAAACAATTTAAACAGCAAACATTGGTAAACACAGCATGTCTGTGGCTACAAGAGGGGAGATACATGTGGATGTTCCGCTGGAGTACAAAGTTTGGGGAAAGACACTCAACAGGAAGGCTTTCCAATTAAGCATAAGAACCCATGGCTGGAAGCACACCCTAGTCCTGACTCCTGTCAGGGCAAGCTGGCATCTGCACCCAACCCAAGCAAATCCATCCCCAGGAACTCAAGCATGCCTCACCAGAATGTGCCAGACATCCTCTGAAACAGAAAGGGGTTTGCAAGAACTATGGAAATAAACACCATGATAGTGAGGAGAGAAAGAGAGACACTTGAGTCACCAGGAATCACTGAAACTCATGCTGCCACATTAAAGACAGAAAATAAAAGGAGGAATCAACATTTTTAAGAAGACAGGTCTGCACACACTGCTGGTTCCCCTCAGCAATGTCAACACATCTTAGCAGTCTACAAAATAGTGCTGATCTGAGGGCATGGCCAGGAGGTTCATCATAAAGTCAAATTAGAAGCTAATTTGCAGGGTCTTTTACTCCAGAAGTGAAGGCAGCTTGCTGCCCTCTGGTGGATTACAGAAGAGGAAGCCGCCACCATACTGGGCTACCAGGGGTGCCTCCTGGCTTTCAACCTATTCTTAAAGGGAGAAGTTGTGGCCCTAGAGGTCCCACTGCTGAGGTTGCAATTTCTGTATCCAGAACAGCAGTGCTGCAGTGCAGACGCAGATGGTGCAGCTTGAGTGTCTGGAAACCCCATTCACTAAAGGATGATGTTCCTGAGATGATGCTGGTCAAATCCTGACTTCAGCGCAACTGTTGGTTTGTTCTGCCAACTTTCTATGAGGATGATCTAACTCCCGCCCAAGCATTGGTTTGAGAGGTTTATAGGAAATCCAGCTGGGGTGATAACATGGTCATATCAGCTCTGTAAAACTGTGTTTATTTGGGAAAAAAACAAAATTTCTAGAAGAATAAAGTCATATTGGCACCTGCCATAATAATACCCGCCCACTTGCTCACGATCCAGAGGATTCCCATTTATGGCCATGGCCCTAATTTGCAAAAGATGCTAAACACAAATCAAGTTTTTAACAATGCCTTAATCCTGAGAGATGACATTGGGAGGCTACAGCGTTCCACATCCGAGAAGTTCAGGCTTCCAGCCTCTTCCAGATCCTTAAGCTTCAGGGAGAGAAGAGAAGGAGGAAATCCCCACTTGACCCAAGTCCAGGGCAAGGGAAGATGCTTTCCTGTTACTGTTCCCCAAAGACAATCATCTTTGCAAAGGAATAATGTTGCAGCTGGAAGAAAAAAAGAAAAGGAACAGTGTAAGTTTGGTGGCTCCATTCAGGAAAGTCAGAAGTGAGCCCTTCTGAGCTTTTCAACTACATGCATCCATTCTTTTAAAGCAAATGCCCAGTTAATCAAGAAACCAGAGTGACCAGGGCTCCCTCCACCTCCATACCTGCAGTCTCATTCCTGCCACAAGGATTCACCATGAGTTTCTGCAGGCAGTCTGGAAACTGCCATCATTTCCCCACGACCCCGCCTCCTCCCCGCAGCTTTATGTCTGACACGCACGGACGCGGCAGTGTGAACGAACAGGCGCGGATACTTTACCCCAGCAGCCCTTTCCCTGCCCAGCGTGTTGGCACGAGTCTGAGCTGATGTTTCTCCCCTCTGCGGATCACTGTCACATTCAGGGGCTTCTGAAAGGAAAATAAGCTCATTTTATGTTCAACCTCATCAGCGCTCACAGATTCAGGCTAGGAGGAGGCTGTTTTTTGCCCACCAGATTGATAAAGATGCTTATTTCAAGCATAATTCGTACAGTGTTGAGAACGTGGGGATCTGGCACTCGTGGGCAGCCAGTGGGGCTAGAAATTTGTACTGTCTTCCTGGAGAAACACATTTCCCCTCAACAACAACAAATCTTTAAAAGGTGCATACAAGAGACACTTTGCAAAAGTACAAGATGACACATGAACAAAGTTCATTCCAGGGCTGTCTGTAAATTCAAAAACTGAAAACACCCAAAATACCCCTCAGTAAAGTATTGTTCAAATATAGTATGGTGAATAAGCAGTTTTAGTAAAAACGAAACAAAACAAAACCAGCCAAGTATAAACCCATTTGACTATATGTCCTAAAAGGACATATGTGTTATAAATCAACTATGCTTCAAAAAATAATAATACTTTAAAAATAGAAGTAAAAATTAAAAAGAAACAAAAACTCTAAAAATTCAATCAATCAATAAATAAACAGACATATGTGTTGCTTGATGCATACAAAGTTTTCTGGAAGATAAACTGTTAACAGTGGTTACTTTCAGAAAGAAGCACTAGCAGTTGGAGTAAAAAAAGACATTTACTCTTATATCTTTCTGTACCATTAATTGTTTTTTACTATGTGTATGTATTACTTTAAAAAGTCAAGTAGGTACAATACATACTAAAGAAAATTACAACTTAAAACAAGATAAAAATTACAAATTAAAATTTAAAAACTTTTGTACTTCAAAGGACACTGTCAACAAAGTGAAAAACAACCCACCAACCAGAATGGGAGGAAATATTTGCAAATCATATATTTGATAAGGGATTAATATCCAGAATATATAAAGAGCTCCTACAACTCAACAATAACAACAAAACAACCCAATTAAAAAATAAGCAAAGAACTTAAATAGACATTTCTCCAAGAAAGATGTACAAATGTACCAATAAGCATATGAAAAGAAATGCAAATTAAAACTAAATGAGATACCACTCACACCCATTAGGATGGCTACTATCAAAAAAAACAAGAACAAAAACAAAAAAAAAACAGAAAATAACAGGAGTTGGGAAGGATGTGGAGAAACTGTAACCCTTGTACACTGCTGATGGGAATGTAAAATGGTGCAGCCACTGTGGAAAACAGTATGGCTATTCCTTTAAAAATAGAAAATACAATTACCATTTAAACATGCAATTAAACATCTGGGTATAAGCCCAAAGAGTTCCAGAAGGACCCAGGGCCCTGAGGGGGTGAAGTTCTCCCCACCACCTCCAGCCCATCCCAGCAGCATAGCTTTTATTTGTTTGATATATTGGAATTCCCCAGGAAATTTCATTTGAAGAAAAGGTTCTGTTACTCAAAAGTGTTCAATAACTACTTTTGTAAAGAAAGACTTATACAGTATTATTAACTACAGTCACCATGTGTACATTATAGTACATAATACTCTATTGTATAGCTAAGGGAGTAAATTGCTAAGGGAGTAAATTTTACAAGCGCTCATCACATGAAAAAGAAGTTCTCTAACTATGGATGTTGACATACATTAACTAGACTTACTGTGGCAATGATTTTGCAATATATACAAATATTGAATCATTACATTGTACACCTGCGACTAATATGTCAATTATACCTCAATTTTTTAAAAAGGGATTTCTAGACCCTAAGGAGCCTAAGAATATATTTAACTAGAAAAGACAGATTAAAACCCAGTAGCTATGATGAGTAATCACCAAAAACTGGAAAGAACCTAAACATCCCTTACTGGAAAATGGATAAACGATCCATTCACTGAACCGTGGAGCACTACGCAGCCACGAAAAGGGATGACCTAAAGATGCACCTGATGATGCATAAGAACCTCAGATGAATGACACTGAGTGAAAGAAGCCAGACTTAAAGGGCTTTATACTGTGCAGTTCCACTTACAGAACATTCTGGAAAAGGTAAAGCTAAAGGGATGGGCAGAGATCAGTGGGGTTTTTTGGAGGAACGAGGACAGGAAGGAGAGAAGTTAACTATAAAAGGATAAGGCCATTTTGGGTGGTGGAACTGCCCTGTATCTTCATTTGGTGACATTTATATAACTATACACAGTTGTCAAAATTCACAGTACCGTCCACTGCAAAGGGTGAATTTTGCTGTAGATAAATTATACTTTAATAAAAGCAACCAGTAGCTTTGTCTGCTGATGTGTGAATGGACTGTCCCTGGAAGGACACATGGCTAGAAAGTGGCTGCCTTTGGAGGAGAGGAAATGGACTCGGAGAGGGAGATTTTTCATTGTTAATGTTCTCTGAGTTCTGTTTTGACCATGTGTATGTGTTACCTCTTCCAGAAAAAAAAAAAGACATTTACAAAACAAACCAGTAAGAACAAGCTCAGACAATTACAAGGTGTAAAAGTATGTGCAGCAAGCCACGCAAGAGACATGAGTGAACTATAACACACTCGCAAGTGGGGGTGGGGCGGGGGCGCAGGAGGTGGGGAAGGAATGAAAAACAGACGTTGGGTAAACATCACAGAATGAACCCACATCTGCACCACCTCTCGAAACCTCATGAAAGTGATGACAGAACAGTAAAGCAATAACAAGGATACAACGCCCCAAGGATAAATAAGTAAAATGGGAAAGGAGACTGCAAAGATGAGAGGTGGCAGAGAAAATGAAAAGCTTAGAGAAACTGGACAAGTGGTAGCTGAGTAACTGGAGAAAATACAAACCCTGTGTTGTGGTTTAGGTTATGTCCACAATTGCTGAGATACTGCTTCCTTCAAGAGTTGAAGTCAAATTCCCTACCCTTTGAGTGTGGGCTGCGCTTAGCGAGGTGCTTCTAAGGAGTGGAATCAAGTGGAAGTGACAGTGTGAAGCTCCAGAGACGGAGCCGGAGAACGCGCTGCTGCCTCCGCTCTGCTTCCCCATGGATCCCCCACCCTGGGGGGCCCCGCCGCCACCGAGCAGCAGCCCCGTGGAGAGGCGCCGCGTGATGAGGGACTGAAGCCTCCCTGTGAGTAAAGCATCTTGGAAGCAGATTTTCTAACCTCAGTCAAGCTCTCAGATGACTGCAGCCTCTGATTACATCTTGACCACAACCTCATGAGAGACCCTGACCAAAACCAGCCAGCTACACAACTCCTGGGTGCCGGACCCTCAGAAACTGGGAGCAACAATAAATGTTTGTTGTTTTAAGCTGCTGAAGTTTTGGGATGACTTTTCCACTCACCAGTAGACATACAAGGTGCTATATGGCAAGGGGTTAAAAGGAAACAGGCCAGGAACAAACGGATTTGTTCCAGGGAAACGCAGAAAGGCTCAGAACCAACCAAGGCCACGGAATAAACATTCCCACATATTAGAATCATGTAACAGAGGTGGCGATAAAAATGAGCGGGTAAAGTACTAACTCTTCAGTAAATGTTACTGGGACTAATACTATTCATTTGGGGGAAAAAATTAAGTGTGGTGCCCTGCTTCACGCCATGCACAAAAGTTAATTTCAGGTGAGCCATGAACTCAAGAGAAATGAAAACATATGTCTACACAAAAGCTTATACAGAATGTTCACAGAGGTATTATTCTATTATAATTATTATTCTATAATAATAGCCAGAAAGTGGATACAACCTAAATATTCATCAATGATAAACAGATAAATAGAACGTGGTTTACGCGGTTCATCCATACAATGGGATGTTATTTGGTCACAGACAGGAATGAAGTGTTGATACACGCTCCAACATGGATGAACCTTGAAAACACAATGCTAAGTGAGAGTAGTCACAAAATATCATATGCTGTATGATCCCATTTATATGAAGTGTCCAGAATAAGCAAGTCCATAGAGACAGAAAGCAGTTTAGTGGCTGCCAGAGGTTGGCGTACACGGGGGCATGAGGAGTGACTGCTAACGGGTACAAGGCTTCTTCTGGGGGTGATGAAAGTGTTCCACAATTGACTGTGGTGATGGAGGCACAACTCTATGAATATACTAAGAATGACTGGATTACGCACTTTAAGTGGGTGAACTGTAAGGTGTGTGAACTGTACTTCAATTAAACTTATAAAAAATAAAAATAAAAGACACATTCCAGATGGATTAAAGAAAAGCTAAAGACAAAACAATAAAAGTACTAGAAGAATTGCTTTAAGCAGACACAAAATGCCAAAGCCATTAAGCAAAAAACTGACGTATCTGACAAAATACAAATTTTAAACTCGTCCACATGAGCACAAATTTGATGACGGTGTCAGTCAGTGTGGAATTGAAGGCCCGACCTCTAGCAGGGGCGCAGGCACCGGCCAGCTGTTTCTTGGCCCACTGCCTGCCTTCTGATGAGTTCCACATGGATGAGCAGTGCAGCCAAGCCGGGGTTGACTGGGCGCAAGACAAACCAAGAATTGTTGGTTGATCTGAAGATTCATTTGGGAACCAAAAACTTTACTTTGAGCCCCATATTTCTTCTGCAAAATATGGATCTTTGCCAAAAAAAAGTTTTGCTGGGGTTACATTACTGAGAAACAAGCCAAAATGATTAGGTGGAAATGTTTTTAACAGCATAGTCTGCCAGAAACTGGAAGACTGCAGCCAATTTTGAATTTCATCTTTTATTATATCTTTAAGGAACGAAATTATCAAAATGCACACAAATCAAGTTCTAATCTACTGCTGTTTGAACATCACTGTACTACCACGTATTGCACCATATTTCTTCATTTAAATTCTCAGGTACGGTTTTGGCACTGAAGAGTCCTGTAATGTTAATTCAACAAAATGAATATCTAACTGAATGAAAAAAAAACCTTTCAAGTAATCAAAGTTACCATAAACAAAATTAAAAGGATCTAATCAGGAGAAACATACACAATATGTAAACAGGCAAAGGTTTAATATCTCAGACATAGAAAGAATTCCTATAAATCAGTTTTAAAAAGGACAAATAACCCAATAAAAAAAAGATTCACAGATAATTCTTCATCTTATTAACTCTTCATCTCTTCTCTCTTCTAATTACTGAAGCATAAATTGCTTCAGAGAAATTTAAATACTAGGATTTGAACTTAATACATAATATTCTTTGTAGTTCCTTTTTTATTTTTTCCAGAGTAAACTGCTTTTTAATAAATGACTATCCATTAAAAAAATTCACAGACAATTCATAGAAATAAAAATATAAGCATTAATGAACATATAAAAAAAGATATTCAACCTCACCGGTAACCAGGAAAATACCAAATAAAACAAGATGCCATTTCCGGAAAGCTATTAAAAGATCACTAATAAAACAGTACTATTGATGATATGATACAGCCGACCCTTGAACAGCATGGGTTTGAACAGCTTCAGTTCATTTATACATGAATTTTTTTCAATAAATACACTGCTGCGTGATCCGCGGTTGCTTGAACCCGCAGATGCAGAACCGCAGATACGGAGAGCCAACCGTGGGACCTAAGCATCTGCAGATTTTGGTGTCTGCGGTGGTCCTGGAACCAGTTCCGCGTAGATACCGAGGGACGACTGTACTCACATACAGTTGGTCAGGGTATAAATTTGTAAAACTGTTTCAAATTACCTATTAAAATTTTAAGTGTGCATTTGCTTAGAGCCTATAATTCTACTTTCTGGTATCTACTTTGAGAAGAACCCACAGGTATGCACAGCTGTAAGCAAGTGTGCACAACTGTTCACACTGGGATACAACAGGAGATGACTAAGATGTTCAGGGATAAGGCAATGGGTGGACAAATGGCAGCCCATTCACACAGCGGAGTACTATGCAGCAGTAAAAAAAAGAGCAAGGGATGTGCCCAAATGAAAAGATTTCTAAGAAACCTTATTAAATGCAAACAGGCATAGGAAGCAGGAGAGGGGTGTTTTAGATACAGTGGCCACAAAGGCCTCACTGAGAAGGTAGCATTTGTACAAGATGAAGAAGGGAAGGAGGATGAGAGGGTGAGGGAAGAAGATGAAGGAAATAACAGGGGGTGGGGGGACAAGCATTCTAGGCAGAGGGAACAGCAAATGCAAAGGCCCTGAGCGGGGACTATGCCTGAGTAACAGCACCCTGAGGGCAGCAGTAAAGGCCCTGGCAAGGTTTCCCAGCCCTGGCAATTCCAGGGTTACTGCCCCAATGCCACGTCACCCTAACTCACCCCTTCACTGTGCTGGACCACACTGCCAATGTTATGCAGCGACTGGAAGTTCTGGGTGTTTACAGAGCCAAACTCCACAATCTCATCATCCACTTGCAGACCCTAAAGAGAGAAGAGAAAACAGAAAACCAGGCTAGAGGGTAAACATGCTGCCGGTATTTTTTACCCTCCCACACAATTTAATGTCAAGGTCAAGAGCATGTTTTCTACAGGGGAGAACAGCAGGAACGAAGCAAAGAGGCTGGGACTTACCTACCTCATGCAGGAGGGGCCAGGAGATAACTGGGCCACCTCCTCCAGGGGTTCCTCCGGGGGCAGGTCTGCCCAATGACTGATAAAAGCTATCTGATGAAAGCTGGCTGCTGTGGAGGCCAAGGAACGTGCAGAAAAGCCAAACACTGCCCTCTGGGGTCCTGACCCAGGTTCAGGGGCAAGAAGAGGCAGGCCAGTCTGGCCTATTTTGTTCAGGGGTCAGAATTTAAACATGTTTGCCTTAGACACCCCCCCAAGCAAGCAGCCACAGGCACAATGCTGACCCAGAACTAGAGTGACCCTTCAATTCTAAGAACGCATATCACCTTTCATCCCTTCAACAAATATTTGTCAGGGGCTGACGACAGCACAGTGCTGAAGCTGTGAACACAGTGGTGAATAAACGGAGCTTGTATGTGACCTACAGTCTCATGATCACTAAAGCGGACTAGCAGGACCAGTTCCACCTTCTGGAAGCTCTGTATCCTGGCACAAGTCCCTTCAGGTCTTGGAGGCTTTTCTCATGGGTGAAACGGAAGAGAGCAGTACCTACCCCAGAAGGTGGCTAATTATTAAATGGAGGTCCACATAAAAACGCGTACATGGTGTTCACAGTAGCATTATTCGTAATAGCCAGGAAATGGAAATAAACTGATGAATAGAGAAACAAAATGTGGTCTATCCACACAGCACATTATGACTCAGCGGTAAAAAGGGAGTAGAGAGATACGTGCTCCAACATGGAAATGGACCTTGAAAACATGATGCTAAAAAGGAGCACATAGTGTATGATTCCATTTGCATATATATGAACTGTCCAAAATAAGCAAATTCATAGAGACAGAAAGCAGATGGTGGTTGCCAGGGGTGGGGGGAGGACAGGGGGTTGAGGGTAACAGCTAGTCGGTACAGGGGTTCTTTCCAGGATCATGAAAGGATTCTAAAATTGACTGACTACACTAAAAACCACTGAATCATATAGGCACTTTAAATGGGTAAAAGTTATGGTATGTGAGTGATAGTCCAATAAACATGTTAAAACTTTCTAGAACACACCACAGGTGTGCTATGTGAGTCAGGACACGTGGTGCAAAGCAAGGGCTCGGGAAGTGGCATCCATCGCTGTCACTCTCATGTCTATTTTCGACATCCAACTAAAATCAGCCCCAAGAAGAGATCTTCTTTTCCCCTTGGGACATTTATCACCTTCTACCTTGTGTCCCTGGTCCCCCCACCCCCAGCCAGCTCAGTGGGCAGCAGGGGCCGACGCCCCCCTGAAACTCTGTTCCCAGCACGCGGCTGGGCTGCCAGCAGGCCTCCATCAGCGTCTGCGGCATGAGTGAGAAAGAGAGCGGCTCTGCTTGCCCACAGTCCCCCCCACCCCCACCCCCACTGCCTGCAACCCTGCCCCAAGGCCTTCTGGGTGTGGCTTTAGGCGGCCAGCCAGGCTTACTGCGATGCTGGCCGGGGAGCCGGGGCTGATGCTGTTGACTCTGGCGAAGGCCTGAGGAGGGCTGAGGCCCTGGCTCTGGCCGTGGTTCGTGGCCTCCCTGTGGGCCTCAGCCAGGTCCCGGGCCTGCTTCTCCTTGTCACGAGCGTGCAGCTGGTGCAGGGCCTCCTCCACCTGCTTCATCACCGCCTTGTGATCGTTCTGCAAACCTGGGAGGAGAGCACCATATCAGGGGCCAAGGAGGACAGCTGAGGACGCGAGACCCCCACATTCACTCACTGAATATGCAAGGAGCACTTACTACGTGCCAAACATTGGGCTAGAGGCCGAGGGCCCGTCTGTGAACAGGACAGAGGGGCTGCCCTCGTGATGCTTACAGTCTTGCACGGAAAGCAGCTGTGGGACAAGTAATTCCAAAGACATCTGATGACTGTGACGAGGGCCAACCCTGCCAGGGGACCTGACCTTGCTAGTCTAGGAGCAGGGACAGCCTCCCAAAGGCAGCACCATTTCAGCTGAGACCTGAAAGGTGAGCAGAAGGAAGGACTCGTCCCGCTGAACCCATGGCCACAAACTCACATGCAGACCAGGGGCGAGCACGAGGGTCATGCAAACAAGTGAAGCCGTCGTGGGGGAGGGAGGCGTCCACTTTTCTCTTAGTGCCTCTAGAAGAAAATATGACGCCAAGCCTACTGGTGATGTCCAGTCTGGGAGCGGTGACAGGGAGAAAGGCTGGAAATTAGGAGTTTGCGGGTGAAATCCTCTGCTTTTTCTCAGTACTGATGGCTAACCTGAAATGCTGTAAAGCGCCATGCTGGTTGAGGAAAGGTCTCTGCAGGCCAGTCCAGTAGGCTGGCTGGGATTTTGATTTGGGGGGGGGGGTGATTAGGTTTCTTTATGTATTTTTTTAAATTAATTTTTAATTTTATTTTATTTTTAAGTGGAGGTACTAGGGATTGAACCCAGGACCTTGTGCATGCTAAGCACACACACTACCACTGAGCTATACCCACCCCTGATAACTTTCTTTTAACCTAAGAACACCTTCCTCTACTGCTCTGGATTCCATGCCTCATTCAAGCCAGTTCCCTGTGGGGAGCTTCAGAGGCCTGAGCAGACCAGTCCGTGTCTAGCATCCCTGGGTCACAGACTTTCAGACTTTCCAGGTGCCCTGGACTGTGGGACTGTGGACACACAAGGCTACATGACCTGGTTTCTGCTCCTGTCACTTCAGGTCAAAAAAATTATTTTTCCAGACAAATTATTTCCAAAGTACACACACAAAAAACAAACTTGCAGTTGTAACAAATGCAGCATGCATTAATATAAGAATTAACAACAGGGGAAATGGGTATAGAGCATGTGAGACCTCTCTGGATTATTTTCCCAATTTTTCTATAAATCTAAAACTGTTCTCAAAAAATTAAGTCTACTTTTTGAGATAAATTTGTGCCAATAGTTTTTCAAAACAAGACCAATAAAAACGAATTGCTCAACCAGACTCTTAAGTATATTAAAGTCATTAAGACGGTGTGATATTAGCACCCAAAAAGATAGATCAATGGAACAGGGTAAAAAAACCCACAAAGAGACGTAAGCATATCTAAAGATTTACCATGTAATACTGTTAGCATTTCAAATTAATGGAGAAAGAACAGACTATTGAATAAACGGTGCTGGAACATTAGGCCAACTATTTGGGAGAAAATAAGTCAGTGCCTACCCTCACACTGTGGACTAGGGCTTCTCAGCTTTCCCCCAGAATCCTAACTGGGAAGCACGTGGGCCGCATCCCTAGGGAGTCACAGTGTGTAGCCAAAAGCCCCAAATTTCCCTCTAGTCTGATTGCCTCAACATGGGTTTTCCCTCCTCTGTATCTTCCTATTTGTTTTAATATTAAAATGGCACGCTTCCTTTCCCGAAATCTTCAAAGTGATGCTCTAAGAAGGTCTATGATCACACTGTGGCTCTGAGGAACCTCTGGCATCTTAAGCTGTGTCCCAACCCAGGGTTACTTGTACCCCCACTGAGAAGCTTGGCCTTATACCAAAACATGCTGCAGATGGAGTCAAGATGCAAAAGGTAGAGCAGAAGCCATTAAGGGGAAAATGTGGGCAACGAGTTCCCTTCTAATCTGACTCTGCGGTAGAGACTGCTGGTCGCCCACCTGTGGCAGAGTGAAAAATGGCCCCAAATCTTAATTCACGTCCTCATCTCCAGAACCTGTGAATATGCTACTTCACATGGCAAAGGGGACTTCACAGGTGTGCGTAAGTTAAGGGCCCTGAGACAGGGAGACTATCCTGGACTATCCCAGTGCCGGGCCCACTGTAATCACAAGGGTCTTCACAAGTGAAAGAGAGGCAGGAGAGTGAGATAAAGGGATGTGATGACAGAAGCAGATGCTGGAGAGAGGTGATTGCTGGCTCTGGAGACGGAAGGAGCTGCAAGCCAAGGAATGTGGGCAGCTTCCAGAAGCCGGAAAAGACGAGGAAATGGGTTCCTCCCTAGAGCCTCCAGAGGGAACAGAGCCCTGGTGACACCTTGATTTTAGCCCAGTGAGACCCACATGGATGTCTCACCTCCCAGAACTATAAGGTAATAAATTTGTGACATTTTAAACCACTAAGTCTGTGACGATTTGTTATAGCAGAAAAAGAAGACTAAAATATACTAGCCCACCTCTACTCTCTCTCTGTTCCTTGATAATAAATACATACAC